GTGAGTCAAAACTGACTCTGCCTCACCTAATAACAACAACAATGAAGTCTCTGGGGCTTCAAATGGCTAAAACTGCACGGCTGTTCACTAAAAGATTGGAGGTTGGTGTCTACCCAGAAGCACCGTGGAAGAAAGGCGTGGTGAACCACTTCCAAAGAATCAGCCATTGAAAAACCCCTGTGGAGCACAGTTCTACTCTGACCTACACGAGTTGCCATAAGTCAGAGACTACTGGGTACTAATATGATAGCAGTGCTCGCTGGCCTCTTTCGGTGCACCTAGTCAGTAGCCTTGCCTCCACTCTCCACTTCATCCCAGGTTCCTGGTGAATTCCTGTTAACAGTCAAGACTTGCGTCCGCTGTTTCCTGCTCCCTGAAGTCCTCCTGTGTTTCCTGTACTCTCCCCACCACACCACCAAGTGCTGGCAAGCTCCTCACTCCTTCCTCTGCCCCACTCGCTCGTCATACAAGCCAGTTTTCTCCTGTGTAGCCACGTGGTACTTGGCAATACATTTCAGAATGTTTGCTGTCTCCCCTCCGTACCCCAGTATTCGGCATGCAGTCTCTGCACAGTGAATGAAGGGTTTAGAACTCTGGTGACCCCGGTGAATTCCACTCCCCAAGTTGCTTCATTTGCTCTGGCTTCTCTTCAGGGCCTAAGGACAATCTACCTTTATTGAGAAGCATCCAGTAACCTGTGAACTTTGGCATTGAGGGTTACCATAAATGCAGTCAGAGGCATAAAAGGGCACCCATCTCAGGTGATGAATCTGTAATGTGACTACACTTGTGTCATTCAGAGCAAGACTGCCAACATTTCCAGCATCTCATGTGGTTCCTGTAACCAATACCCCCAGCCCAGGGCAGTCACCATTCAGGAACTTCTAAAGGTGCCCGTTAAAAAGATCTTCTTTGCATTTAAATGGTGCTGGCAAAGCTCTCTGAGGGTAAAACCACTGTCTGATTTTGAAGCATGTATAATAGAAAGTGAAAGTTCCCTCAACATCAGTATCTTCCCCAGAAACAATCAGGGTTTTCAGTCACCTTGTCCTTCCAGGCCTTTCTCTGTGGTCTTCATACAACTCTCCTTCACCAGCAGTACATCATGTACATACATGTACTTCTTTAAGGTCTGTGTCATTGTCTGTCTGTGTACTCACTCATTGCTTGTGATTTGCTTTGTCATACACAGTACGTGTCTTTTAAACCTTGAGGGGGTCATTTCTGTTTGACATCCATGCCATTGGACAGACCTGCCGTGCTTTTGCACTGGGGCACCCAGACCTTGCTCTTAGATCTCCCATCCACTGAAACCAAACACCCAAACCCACTGCCATCAAGTTGATTCTGACTCATAGGGTTTCTAAGGCTGTGCCTTTATATCAGAGCAGGCGGCCTTATCTTCCCCTGTGAAGTTGCTGGCGCCTTTAACTGGTGACCTTGCAGTTAGCAGCCTAGTATGGAACCTATAGCACCATTCACTGAAAGACCCCGTCATTGCTGACCCCTGGGGAGTCACCTTCTCTGGATGATCGGATTTTTAAGCAAGGGCTCATGTGGGTTGAAAGGGTCCAAGCTGGTTGAAGATGGCAGTAGCCGGCAGGTGCAGACACTTTAGGGAATCTGTAAGCCCTTTACTGTTGATAAGTGCCTTTGAGTCAGTTCCAACTGTCAGAACCCCTATATAGGGTTTCCAAGGAGTGGCTGGTAAGTTTGAACCGCCGAGCAGTCCAGTGCTGTTCCTGCAGTGCCACAGCAGTACCCCTTTTTATATATATTGGTTTAAGTGCTATCAGCTCAGTTCTAACTCATAGCGAGCCTGTATAGGTTTCCGAGGAGCATCTGGCGAATTTGAACTGATGACCTTGTGGTTGACAATCCAGGCTTAGCCAACAGCATCATAAAAAGGAAACAAAGCTAGTCCATAATCCCAGTGTTAAAAGGACCCCTATCAGATTTTCAAAGCATTAATCCATGATTAAATTTCAAAGTAAATGGGTGCGTACACCGTGCCACCTGCCTTCTCGCTCTGCCAGTGCATTCTTAAGCACCTTTCCAGGAAATGATGGGTTTACAGCATCACGAGTGACTTCAGAACAACTTGAGCTGAAAGGGACGCTCCTCTGCTCACGGCTCCTCCTCCTGAGTTTGGAGCTATGTCTGCAGCAGTAGTGTCTCCGTCTTTGGACCAAATGAGTGGATTCCCACCCCATGACAGACCATAATGACTTAACCACACCTCTCTTGGTGGGCATTTAGGTTATTTCCAACTGGATAGTTGCGTTTTCAAGGTTTGAAATTTCTGCAGCCAGTGTGCTGATCCCCCCAAAAAAGATCAGGTATCCCCCAAGTATCTTACCTTCAAGTGAAGCAGAAGCAGTTGTGGCCAGCTGACTTTGTTGTTGTTGTTGTTGGCGTGCAGGCAGGGAAAGGAAGGTAGTTGGCACTCACTGGGCGCTTAGTGTCACCAAGCTCCTCCAAACTTGGTATCCGTGATTGCATTCCAAACTAGGAGGCCGGAATTACTTGTCCCCTGTTTTAGATGAGAGGGACCTGAAACTAGGAGAGGCCGGATGGCCTGTGAGGGCTCAGTTGGGGTTCACACTGCTCTGGCCAGCTCCAGACCCCACTGGCATTACTACATTCCCCACTTCTGCCCATTGCTCTCTCCATCCAAGTTCATGGCGGTTCTGACTCACAGTGACCCCATGTGTGTCAGAGCAGAACTGTGCTCCACAGGGTTCACAGTAGTGGAATTGTTGGAAGTAGATCTCCAGACTGTCCTTTCAAGACGTGCATCCCTGGGTGGGCTTGAACCTCCAACTCTTCAAGTTAGCAGCCAAGTACGTTTGCACCCCCAGGGATTCCATATAAAACTTGTTATTAACTGCTGCCATGTTGGTTCCAATTCATAGCAACCCTTTATAGGGTTTCTGAGCAGCAGCTGGTGGGTTTGAACCACTGACCTTCCAATTAGCAGTCCAGTGCTGATACCACATCAGGACGTTTCTGCCGCTTTCCAGTATAGACTTCCTGCTCTTTAACTTCTAACTGGAGAGCATTCTGCCCACTTTGGGCTCGGTTTTGTTTTTCTTGGGAAGATTCCTACTGTGGTGGGCTTTGCTCTGAAATTCACTGGGAACAGGTAGCCTGGGGTCTGAGTGCTTCAGGAGGAGAATAGGGGCACTCCCAGCTGCATCCAGTCACCCAGCATCCTGAGCGGGCTCTGATGGGTGCCGTGTGTCCCGCGGGGATATGCCATCTTCATGTTCTGCTCTGTGGGCATCTAGGCTCTGCTGTCAGGGTTCCCTGGACAGGAACTCCTGTCTGAGTGCATCTGTCTTCTTGTAGATGAATAATCACAAGTGGGTAAATAAAAATGAATGTTCAGGTTTGGATGCTAATTTGGTTTTCAGTTGGGATTTGTTTTGAGCGTTATTAAAATTAACTGAGCTCCTGAGCTCATTCCACTTACTGGCAAGGTTCAGGACCCCAGAATGAAATTGATGGTTGTTTGGGTAAATTCATAAGGTGGGTAATGAATATCCAGATAATGGAAAAGTCTCCTTTAAAATAGTGGGCTTTGTTTTTTCTCATAATGATGAAATCATGGTCAGACATCATCCAGACTCTGGAGAGAGAAAACCACTTCAGTTAGAAACCTGCCCCCCACCCCCAACAGTATGATGCTTTTCTTTGGACTTTTCTTCTTCCTAGATCTGGTCCACTTGCCTGTGTACATGGATTCTTTTCCAGGTCACATAATCTGGAGACAAGTTTGAGCCCCTGGTAAAACACCACCATTTTAGGAAGCGCTTGGGCCTCGGAGTCAGGCAACCTTCCATTCAAATTTTGACTCTCTAGCTTAGTAACTGTGAATCATTGGCCAGGTTACTTAGCCCTTCTGATCCCCTGTTTTCTTATCTCTAAAATGAGTCTGATGTTGTTGTTAAAGTGCCATCGTGTCAATTCCGACTCATTGTGGTCCCCTATAGGGTTTCTGAGGAGCAGCTGGTAGGTTTGAACTGACAACCGTGACAACCTTGTGGTTCACAGTCCAATGCTGATCCTACAGTGCCACATATCCACAGCAAAAAATTCACCAGGTTTCCCTGTGTAGAGTTCAGTGACTTTGAGTACGTTCTTTGCGTTGTCCAGCCAGGCTTCCTTTCTGAAGAGCCAGTGTTTGACCTGTCAGTGCTGAAGTGCAGTCAGGATGCTCCTTAGAGGGAGGATACCAAGACACAGTCTCATGCACTTTGGATGTGCTATCAGGAGAGACCCATCCCTGGTGAAGGATTTCATGCTTGGTAAAGTGGAAGGTCAGCAAAAAAGACCCCCACCCAGAGATATGGATCAACACAGTAGCTGGAGCAGTGGGCTCAAATGTTAACAGTTGTGAAGATGGCTCTAGACCAGGCAGTGTTCCGTTCTGTTGTACAGACAGCCGAATTGTCACTATGAGTGACTTGACAACACCAAACAACAACAATATACCTGCTTTTTTTTCCTCATACACCACTATTTTTATTTCCTGTGGGGAAATGACACTTTTTTTGAAAAAATGCATTTCTTTAAAATTAAAAAGGGAATGGCTTTTGTGCACTTAGGGAAGGAAGACACAAGTTATATACATGTGAACTTGAATGTCAGCTGTGCTGCTCCCTGGCTGTGTGACCTTGGGCACATCATTGAACTCTCTGAGCCTTGGTTTCCTCACACCCTGTGGGACTCTTGTGAAGTTTAAATGAGGTACTATAACCACAGCCCTTAGGCCAGCATCAGACACAGCATAGGACCAGAGGTAGATTAGCCAGAAGGCTTTTTCTCTGTGAATAATAATAATGCTGGAGAGTGTTCATGTACAAGTCCACTGGTTAGTGGCATGTGTTAGTTTGGAGATTAATTTGTTGGGGACAGAAGCTGTCAGGCAGCAAGGTGGCCTCAGGTTTCTTTCCAGCGTCCACATCTATCTCTTGTCTTTTGTTGGACTTTTGTAGGCCAAGCCCAGCATTCGGTGTTTCATAAAACCCACCGAGACACTAGAGCGGTCGCTTGAGATGAACAAGCACAAAGGCAAGAGGCGGGTGCAGAAGAGACCCAACTACAAAAACGTTGGGGAGGAGGAAGATGAGGAGAAAGGGCCCGCGGAGGATGCCCAAGAAGACACCGAGAAGACTCAAGGTACAGAGGGTGGTTCAAAAGGCCTCAAGACGAGTGGGGAGAATGAAGGTGAGTGCGCCCGTGCACGCTGCCCCAAGGGGAGCCTGGCTGCCATGTCTCCTCCATCCTAACTCCTGGTCCCCTCCTATGTGTTCATCCCCGCCACCCTGCGCCTCATCCTACACGGCCCCTCACCAAGGCTGTGAGGTGTGGCTGTCCTGCACAGTGCCTGACCGTTCTTGACTCCCCTGTACCTCAGTTGGCTCCTCTGTGAAAGGAGGCTAACAGAGTACCTACTTCTGAGGGTGGCTACGAGAACAAAATGACTGATTATACGTAACTGGCTGCGAGCTGGGCCTGGTCCATGGTAAACACTGTACCATTGGCTGCTGCCACCCTGTCACTGTCCACAGCAGCAGCAGCCCTGACAGGCCAGGGTGACGATTTTAGAGTTGAAGCCATTTTCTCCGGTGCACGGCAGGAAGGCCAATGCTTCTGCTAAGGTGGTCTGCCCCGTCTATGGAGGGCAAGGTGCGCTGTGCTGGCTGCCTCCAGGCTCCCTAAGCGAAGCCTCCATCCGGTCAAGCGGGATTCTGGTGGCTTCTTCATGGCCCTCTTGAACTGTATGATCCCTGTGGCTTTGAGCAGGCTCACAGCCACCGAGATGGGCTTTCTGCCTGCATCCTCAGGCCCCAGGTGGGAGAAGTGATGGAGAGACAGGGACTGGGCAGAGCTGGAGCCCGGGCTCTGCTTGTTGGAGGTGAGGCCATGCCACACCTCCTGGGATGAATCCTACCTCTTCTCACTAGCTTGGGCAATCCGTCCACCCTGGGGTCTGGGCTCATAATGGCCTCACCCACCTGGGTGGTGCGAGGGCCCTTGAAGGGGTAAAACAGTGCAGCACCCTAACCAGCCACTGAGAGCTCCCTCATTTTTAGATGTTTGTTGGGATTCTGTAGCCAAAGCACCCACCCCTGCCCCACCTGGCTGGCCCCAGGATGGCTTTCCTGACAATTGTCTGTGAATGGCAGGACCCCATTTTTGATCACTGTAACTCAGGCATGTGTGGTGCCACCAGACCTGTGTGTAAGGCCTCTGTGGGCCTTCTTTCAGTTCAAATTGTGCCTGAAGAATTTGGGTTTAGGAATTTCTTTTCGGTTGAAAATTTTTGGTTTGGGAACCGTTTGCTGGTATGTGTCATTCTGATGGGGAAAGGAGGGGCAGACTCAAGGTAAGCCATGCTTACTAGCCTGTTTGGATCATTTTGATGTTTTTGTGGTTTAAAGTTGGAAGCAGAGTTTCTGCTAACCCGGGTGTTTAGCTGTTCGATAGCCACATGGAGAAGAGTGGACGTCCCCACCCTGTTGTGGATGCTGTCCTTGTTGGTTTTGTTTTGGAAAGATGTTGCCTCTTTTGTTCCAACCCTTTTAAGGGCTTTTCTCCCACCAGGCCTGGCTGTGACTAACAATGGTGTGGACAGACGGGATGGGGCAGGCCTGGCCTTTGCAGTTCCTAGGCAGTGAGTCAGCCGTGCAGCTGGCCCAGCCCCCAGGCCCCTTCCTCTGTTGAAAGCACCTCATTTTGTGTTTGGTGTACAGACCCTGTGGATGCTGAGCCCACCTGCCCTGCGTGGGAATTCACAAGTCTCCAGAAGTGACTTTAAGGCAGTTTGCTCTGCCCGTAGGAATGCTGGTGGTGCTGTAGGGTAAACCTCAAGGTGTGCAGTCCAGACCCACCAGCAGCTGCTTGGGAGAAGGATGCAGCTTTCTGCTCCTGGAAAGACTGACAGCCATGGAAAGCCGATACAGCACTGCTGAGTTAGAATGGAGACGACAGCCATGGTTTGGTTTGGCTTTGTCAGGGTGTACTGAGTAGGGCCCAGGATTTCCCCGAGACGCTTTGCTTTGACAGTTGACGCAGACTCTGAAGCTCACTCAGTGTGGCTCTCGGCCAGCCCCTCTGCATTTGGCCACTCCTGTTCTCTTGTGCTTTATAGTCATTCCAAACTGCGATGGGCCAGGCACCTTTTCTTATTCACCTCTCAAGCCGAAGTGCAGCCGAGGGTGGGAGCGTGGTGAGAGAGTGGACCTCTAGGTCCATCTCTGTGTCCAGGTTTCTTGGGTGCCCGGGACAGTCTCATTACCTGGACTCATTTCCTATCTGGGGATTTCAAGTTTAGAAAGTACAGTTCACAGGCTGCTGCTTTTTTTCTTCATGAGGACACATTAGAACTCTTGTGATTGTGAGACTCAGAACTTAAGCTGCAACTGGCTTCAGCAGAGTGCAATGATTGTTCATTTCACCAGGAGGCTTGGGTAGGGTGGGACCCATGTGAAAGGTGACCAGAGGCCGCTCCCGCTTTGTGTGGTGCCAACTTCACCACGAAGTCCCTAGGGCACTGGTTGAGATCCTGGGACTGGTGTTCCTTGGAGCATCCCACCCTCCCTGGGGTCCTGGGCCCACCCTGTGGCACATGTCCTGTGCTGATTGTTCCAGCCTGGGTCACATAGCTACCCTTCCAGCACTGGAGAGAAGTCATCCCTACTTGCGTGACATGCGCAGTTGGGGAGATGGCTCCCTCGATGGCAAGTGAGGTACCTCCAGAGTAGCCCTGATGGCGTAGTGGGTTAAGCGTTTGACTGCTGACTCCAAGGTTGATGGTTAAAATCCAGCAGCAGCCCTTGCGGGGAAATGAGGGTATCTGCTCCTGTAAAGATCTGCAATCTCGGAAACCCTGCGTAGGGTCGCTGTGAGTCAGAATCCACTCAGTGGCAGTAGGTTTGGTTTGCGTTCATCAGAAGAAGGGGTGTCAGTGCTGGTCTGGCAGAGACAGCATAGGTGGCCCCAGAGGACTCCCCTAGCCAGCCAGCAAGCTCACCGTGTCATGTGACTCCTCCATGCAGACCTCCTACTCCTTTGTGGGGCTGTATGGCCATCTTCACCCCATGAGTCCTTCCTCAGCAACCTTCTTTCAGGAAACTTGGTGCCACAGCAATTAAGCACTTGGCTGCTAAATGAAAGGTTGGTGGTTCGAACCCCTCTAGCGACTGTATGAGAGAAGACCTGGCAATCTTCTCCTGTAAAGACTACAGCCTGGAAACCCTCGGGGCAGTTCCTCTCCATCATCCAGGACCAGACTGAGTGGGAATTGACTTGATGGTCACCAGCCATAGTCTTCCATTGTCCCTCGGTCTGTGGGGTGTGGACAGACACAAGTAACTCTTTTTTTTTTTTTTTTAAATTATTTTACTATTGTTGTTGTTTAAAGAGCTCTGGTAGCGTAGTGGTTAGGAATTGAGCTGCAAACCTCATGGTCAGCAGTTCGAAACTACCAGCTGTCCTGCGGGAGAAAGATGAGGCTTTTTGTTCCCGTAAAGATTTACAGCCTCGGAAACCCTGTGCAGGGTCGCTATGAGTCGGAACTGACTCTACGGCACATCACAACAACAACAACAACAATTGTTGTTGTTTAAAGCACACACAATTCAACAATTTCTACAAGTGACACTTAGGAGCTGTGAGCACTGGCTCCCAAGCCCCTGTCACCCCCACTGAGCAGCAGGACCTGACTTCTGAGTAACAGGAGTGTGTGTTCATAAGTCACATATTGCTATGACCCGATTTGAGTGTGGCACTGACGCATCTGTCTCCAGATGCAGCGCCCTGAGTCTGCACCTCCTCCACCGTTGAACCCAGATGAGGAAGCTGTCTGACATGCGTGTGTACCCTGACCCAGCCCCCCCTTCCCTCCATTTGCTAAGAAATTTGCTCTCCCTTGGGTCCCAAGTGATGGGCCACTGCAGAAATTGAGTTCTGGAAGGAGGAGGAGGCAGGTCACCTTCCTTGTGGCCCCGCCCAGGAAGTCAGCTGGCTCAGTGTCACTGCTGCTCTTGGGCTGGGAGCAGAGTCCTCCTCTCTTTGGTTCACTTCACTTAGCGCCGTGACCTGAGAGGCAGAGCCAAGACAGAGAGCGAGCTCTTATAGCCTTTCACCTGAAAACTGGGCCCTGTCTTTTGTATTTTGCTCATGGGAAAAGGAGGCATTGTTCTCAGGACCTTATCTTCCAAGCTGCTCTTTTCATGGAATCCCAGCAAGTGTATGAGTGAAGGCAACAGGGCCAACTCAGGCAGCCCGCTCAGGTGGCAGTGAGCCCCCCAGTATGGCTTCTTTTCATTTGAAGTCTTCACTGAAAGGAAATGGAGCCTGACCTCATCCCTGACTCCTCTGGAAAAGCTAGAGCCAACCCCAGGCCTGGAGGACTTTTCTGATGGGGACCAGCCAGGGCCCTGCGGCCTTGGGGAGCCCTTCTCCCTCTCTACAGACAGGGCTTCATAAGGTCATGACACCTGACAGTGGGCAGGGTGGGTGGCTTGGAAGAGGCATTGAATTTGGTGGTGGTGGTTGTTGTTAAGTGTCATCGAATTGGTTTTGACTCCTAGTGACCCTGTTTAGGGTTTCTAAGGAGCGGCTGGTGGATTAGAATCGCCGACCTTGTGGTTCAAACCGACCTTGCAGTCGAGTACTTATCCTTTAGTGCTTTATGTGTGGGCACCTGGCAAGTGTGTGTGCATGTGTGTGTTGTGAGTGTAGGCACATGAGTCTGTGTGCATGAGCATGTGCGTGTGTGGTGTGTGCATGAATGAATGTGCATGGACATATACGTGAGTGTGTACGTGCACATGGGAGATAGTGGAAGACGTGGGAGGAGTAGGGCCCGTCTGTCCCAGGCCACTAGTGTGGAGGCTGGAGGCATGTCAGCTTTCCACGTAGGCTGCCAGGTGAATACACATCCTCTGTAGGACCGCTTCCCAGAAGCCATTCTGAACTGCTTCTCCTCTATTCAGTAGAGGATGATTACCAAAAAAGAAAGGAGAGGGCACCCCCAAATGCAACACACTCATTCCTTATCATTGCTGTTTTCTTCTTGAAATTGGTCTCCCAGACCATCCGGCCTCACGCCGTTTTTCCTTGGTTTCCTCAATAGTAAGCTACAGCATCTCTCCCTCTGTTATAGCCACCTTCTTGGAAGACGTGCTTACTGTTGGTCCCTGTTTGGTCCCTCTCCTTACTGTGGTTGCTGGAATGGAGAACACAGCAAACAGTGGATGAAGTTCTTGAATGGGAGGTCGTGCTTGCCATTTCCCTGAAAAACACTTTATTTACCAAATATTAATCAGATTAGAATGCACGTCATCCCCAGCCAGTTGATGAATTATTGCCGCTATTTAAAAAAAAAAAAGAGAGAAAGAAACCTGAGTGTCAGAGACATCGGGGCAGCTCATGGACTTGGCCAGAGCTGTCATCTCCAGAGGTAGAAGTTGACATTTTTGGGTCCTGCAGGTCCGAAGGTCTCAGCTGGCCTGTGCTGGCTCTTCCCAGCGAAGCCACTGCCTGGGTAACCAGAGTACACATGTAACGTGTCTCTTCCCACTCGTGGGGCTCCATTGTGGAAATGTTGCAGGGTGTGGAGGGTGTGGGTGTAGGCCGAGCAGAGTGAGTGGAGTAGAAGATGTGGGTTCCTGGGCCCGCCTAGTAGCCTGGCCAGCTGTGGAACCACGTCCAGTTCCTCAGACTTTCGAGGCTCAGGGATCCAGCTGTGTAATGGGGTCCTACTGCTACTGGAGCATTTGTGGTTACCGGCCAAGGCGCCTGGCACAAGAGTTAATACCACACAGAGGCTGTTTATACAAAGCTGCCAGTGGGTGGAGAGGGGCAACCTGGGGCAGAGGTACACTACCTGAAGTAATTATCTCTGTGCTCCGTGCCCCCTTCTCCAAAGTGCAGAGATGAGACTTGTTCAGCATCATCCCAGCACAGAGATGAGTTCAGGGCATTGAGTGGTGGAGCGCGAATCTTGGTTTGTGGAGATTTGAAGCCTTCCTGTTTCGTGTGACTGGCCTTTGATGCCTAACATCTCCAGTTTCCCCTGTAGACATGTAGCAAGCCCGGCACTTTTTATTTCTTCATCATGAGTATTTTTACAGTTGCTTTCTATTTATACCAGTGTTATATTTCATACTAGTAATTTAAAAACGCTTTCTATCAAGAAAATAATTTCAAATCTGTGAATCTAAAACCAAACCCACTGCCACCCTGTTGACTTCAACTCATAACAACCCTGTAGGCAGGACAGACTGGAATCGCTCCGTAGGGTTTCCCAGACTGAACAACTTACAGGAGAAGACAGCTACTACGTCTCTTGCCCAGGCTGCACTATCAGAGCTCCTTCAAATTTACCAAGGGTTGCAAAAATTAAAACAATACAAAGAACACCCATTTATCCTCTACCCAGTTTTCACCTTCTGTCATTTCAGAATTAGCTCTCGCATTGGCATCCCCCTCCTCCCTCCCTCTCTCACACTGCATGAATGTACGCATACCACACACATCTTTAAAGTTTTATTCTGGGTAATTTACCAGTATCATGGCCCTTTACCCCTGACTACTTCAGTGTCAATATCTCTTTCATAATCACAAGACTCTTCCCATCATCCTACTACTTCTCCCGATCCCAGTTGTTCCCCTCTAGCACCCAGTCCAGGGTGCGGTCAGACAGGACCTTCTGTTTCATGTCTCTGTGGCCTTCTTTCCTCTGCACAGTGCCCTCAGCCTTTCTGTGTAGTGTCTGATAGAAGACGACACAGCCTTCCTCCCTTTCATGTTTCTAGAACATTCCTTCCTCATTTGATATCATTGAATGCGTCCTCCTGTAAGTGTATTCTTGGCTGGACAGGGGCAGTGGCCAGCTTGTGTCTTTCCCTGGGTGTTACAGATGGAGGTGTCTAGTGCCCACCTGCGCCTTGCTGGTGATGTTAATTTTGATTATCTGGTGAACATGCTGCTTAGCTTCTCCATTGTAGAATTATGTGTTTTCTTTTGTAACCATCTGTGGGGACACTCTTGGGGTCGATGTGGCTATCGTGCTTCTCGTGACGATTTGCCCCTAGGTTTGGCATCTGTGGCTGAGACCCGGCTGCTCCATTCATTACCAGCAGGGCTGCAAAATGCAGTTGACGTTTCAACTGTAGCCCGCTCTCCACATTTAAATGGTGGCCCTCAGCATTCGCCTGCAAGCGAGTTTCCTCCCTTCTCCCTCATTTATTTACTTACCAATTTGTCATTGAAATGGACTCATGGGTTTTAATGTTTTAGTGTTTATAAATTCATTGTTGTTAAGTGCCACCAAGTCGGTTCCGAGTCATAGCAACCCTACATCGGGTTTCCAAGGCTGTAAAACTTTGCGGGAGCAGATAACCTCATCTCTCTGACCTTGTGGTCCACAGTCCAGTGCTTATCCTATATAGCTACTGTGCTTCCATATAATTCATTACTGTCAAAAATGTGGCCAGTGTGAACCTTTTTAAGCTGACTGTTCTGTCCTTGTGATAGGCCCCACTGTGGTTTTGAGCATCCTCTTCCTTTCTGGCCCAACAAGCGTTCCCGGTTCATCTTGCACCTCCCGTGCCCACCCCTAAAATCAGGTGTTTCTCTGATGGCATGTGCCCTCAGGGGGATGTGAGGATGAGAAAGGTACTTGACCTCTGTGTGCTCCCCAAAACCTTTAACTTCAGCGTAGCGTAGTGGTTACGAATCGGGCTGCGAACCTTAAGGTCAGCGGTTCGAAACTACCAGCCGCTCCGCGGGAGAAAGATGAGGCTTTCTACTCCCGTAAAGATTTACACCCTCGGAAACCCTGTACAGGGTCGCTATGGGTCGGACCCGACTCCACGGCACATAACAACAACAACAACAACAACAACAACAACCATGAGAAAAACATCAGGAATACCCAAATTGAGAACTATTGTACAAAGCACCTGACCAGTAGTCTTCGCAGGGAAGTCTGAGAAACTGTCAGAGCCCAGAAGAGCCTAAGGACACTGGACAGCTAAATGTCATGTGGTGTCCTGGAAGAGAAAACGGACCTCAGGGTAAATGAGTGGCATTTGAATACAAGAAGGAGGTGGTGGTCTCTATTAGCTGTCATGGTGACTGTCTTTATCACAGAACAGCATTTTATTGTGATCCGGACTTTCAGTGGCTAACGTTCAGAAGTAGATTGCCAGACCTTTCTTTCTAGTTTGTCTTGGACTGGAAGTTCTGCTGAAACCTGTCTACTCTGGGCAACTCCGCTGGTATTTGAAATACCGACAGTATAGCTTCCAGCATCATACAGCAACACATAAGCCAAGGCACCCCAGTTAGACACACTGGCAGATGGATGGTGGCTGTGGGGCTATTACAATTTTTAAAGAAGGAAGGGGAAAAGCGGGTGGGCAAGGATGTCCAAGAAGATGTCTCCCAGAAGGTGACATTTGCACTGAGCTTTGAGTGAAGTGATTGAGTCACAGAAGGGAAGACCTGGTGAAAGTGTCCCATGCAGAGGACACGACTGTGCAAAGGTCCTGAGGTAGAGACAGGCTTGGGGCATTCAGGGACTAGGGAGGGCTCGAGCACAGCTGGCTTGGCAGGAGTGAGTGAGCGAGCTGGAGAGGACTGGGAGGTGAGCTCAGCGGTGGACAGGGGCCAGCCCATGCAAGACATTTGGATTCATCCTTGAGTGTTATGGGAAAGCATTGGAGAGTTTGGAATAAAATAATGACAAATGCAAATTTCCATTTAAAATCACTTTTGGTCTGTGTGGAAGAGAGACAAGTGGGGACAAGCAAAGAAGCTGGGAGTCAGGAGGCCGAGGGACGACGAGGGGGGCGTGGACTCCAGTGGTACCCAGGTCTGTGCATGTGTTCTCATCTTGCCAGAAATAGCGACGCAAGTTCACATTCCATCATTTGAAAAATGTGTGTTTCATCATGTCTCAAGATGGGGGATATGGCCTCAGAAGGCTCACATGTGCACCACAAAGAGCCCCTTTTCTGAGTCCCGGAAGCACCACCGTCACCATCCCTCTTTAATTCAAGAGGCTCTTTCTGCAGCAGGTTGTCCGCTTTTCTAAAAAGCCTGCCCTGCTTCACTTGGTCTCTGTAACTTGCCTAGATTTAATTAGGAAAAAATAACACAGGCCACCGAAACTGTCTCATTCTCCTGGCAGTTGTGAATGTGGACAGTCTAGTGCCTTTCTACGGCATGCACAACTTCAGAAAATGTTCTGTGAACTTGATTGTTTTATTGACCATACTTATCATTTCTTCTAAGCCACCTCACATCCTTTGGGGAAGAAGCATCCTATTAATAAAGGATCCCTGTTTGGATCCCAAAATAAATGAATGCGATTTATGTATTCTTGTCAAAATCAGGGGTGTGTTTCTTATTTTGGGGGCGGGGCAGTGAATGGAAAGAGAGGTCCTGGCCTCGCTCTACACTATCCCTTAGTGTGTTGTTGGTGTTGATGTCCCCACTGTAGGACATTTGCTGGACACATTAGGAACTATTTACATGTGCTACATGTAATGTGACATGTCTGTAAATGCAGGGCTGTAGCTGCCTGGCCTCATCCCTGTATCTATGTTTGCTTGCAGAGATAGAGATGGTGATCATGGAGCGCAGCAAGCGTTCAGAAGTGGCCACTGGCGCCTCCATGCGGGAGCAGAACACCACGGATGAGGAGAAGAGTGCGGGCTGTAGCGACACCTTACAATGGAACAGGTAACTGCCCACCTGAGCTCACTGTGTGCCCAGGGCTGGAGCTCCCAGGAGCCAGCCATCACTCGCCTTCAGTTGTGCTGTCTCGAGAGGAGGAAGTGGGCTAGCAGTGAGGTTCCATGACTTGGCCAGAGGCACCTAGCCCAGGACACTCACTCAGAATAACCCAGAACCTCGTGGCCTCTCCTGCTTCCCAGCCTCTCCGGCTTCTGTAGGCCCTGGCCAGGGGAACAGAGCCCATGTGACATTATAGTGTTACCCTTTGGGAAGAGACTGATCATCCTAGAGGGTGTGGCTCAGCCTTACACTGGCCGCTCCTAAGAAGGTGCCCTCGGGGGCCGGACTTGGCTCTCCTTGTTCTCATTCATTGTCTATGTGCTCACCATCTTCCATGGCCTGCCCCCATTGACTCAGCCCACATGATCTAATGCTGCTGTCCACCTTCAACTCCCTGCTTGATTGTTCATTTCAGTGACAGCTACTCAACCTAAGCGCTCTCAGACCTCAAGACACCACATTCCCAGAACTGTGCTGGAGCACTCCCTCCGAGAAGGGGATTGGGAAGGCTGTTCCCAGACTCTGCACTGCTAGGCGGTGTCCACAGAACAGGCCCCATTGCCCAGACCTCCACAGACCCCCTCGTCCTACCTTAGTAAATGCACAGCAAATCCACCCGACATCCACTTCTGAAATACACATCACATTTTATTCATCTAAGTTAATGAGCGGCAGTACACTGATTTTCTCCTCCATGTCTTATTTATCTCTTTGCTTGGCAAATGTTTGAATCAGCCAAGGCTTGGAACTGCTGTGATTTGTACAGCCATGACTAATGCAGTAACATCAGAACAGGCCCACATTTGTACACTGTGGGTGTGCCAAAAGATGACCGGAATGGGGACAATGATTGCTCGAAGCCCTGGAAAGGAGACTTGAGAAAGGTGTAGTGAGTCCTTTTAGGAGTCTGATGCAGGAAATTGGATTATTGCTGGGACTGTGGGGTGTGCTATCTTTGAGCCGGACACTGTTGTTTCCAACTCTAAAGAGATTTGGTTGATATGTAACGCACGTACAGTCCTTGTTTTCTAAGAGAGAGAAGAAGTTTCTAGTAGGGCGTCATCCCATAATTTTTCCCATTCCGGTTATCGCTTCAACACATCCATATTTTGCAAATCTTGGTCGCCTCAGATTCACTTCCTTGGCCGTGACTGAACCAGGACGAACCTGTTAAAAGCCTACAATTACCTGACAGACAGCATTTTTATCAGCTGCACAAGGGAGCCATTTTTAGTTCCTCTTAAATAAAAAATGGGAGGGTGGAGCAGGCTGTCAATTGTAGCTTATAAAGACCTGTTTGATTTTGCCTGCAGCAAACAAATGTAACACATGAAACTCTGAAAATTAAGGAAGTCATTTTAAGCACAGGAGGGGGGAGGGAGGGAGACTTTTCAGTGCTGTTTAGAATCTGCACAATTGGGAAACCTAGCCTTGGGGAATGCTTAAACAAATTAGGGTCTCTTTACTTAATAGAACATGAACTGCTGCTTTTCAGTGAATAGTGTCTTATTGTGTCCAATTTTTTATGAGCTAAGAAATGGAAACAGGGACCACATTTTGTAGCTTTGCTAAAGAAAGAAAAACACCTGTGTATACTCAAAACCGGAAAGAAAAAAAAAAAGAAAAGAAATTGACCAAAATACGCTTGAATGTTGGGAGTTTCTGGCCTCTTTTTCTCTAAATGTTAGTAAAGGGTTTTTTTTTTTAAATATTGATGGTGACCATTTCTTAATTTCGAGTGACTTTCCCTGACACCTGGTATCAGTTGGTTTGTGGTGGAAACTGTTTCAAGTACCTTGAGTTGTGGGCTACATGCCCCTGTGAGCTCGTAGCCAGGAGGCTCGGCACCTCTTGAAGCCCCAACACCAGGATGCTGGTCCAGCAGCCTGCTCCTCAGCAAATGTTCAGAAACCCCACCTCTGCTCTGTGTCACCCCAGTACCTGCTGAGGTCAGGAAGGGTGGATACTCGCTCTCCTTGACACAAATGCATCTTGCCATTGATCCATGGCCTAAAGGAACAGCCTAGGAAAAGGCAAAACTGCTCTTACAGCCCTCCTACATCCAGGGCTCTGTGTCTAGTTGTATGTTAATATAGGCAGTGCAAAAGCCGGATTCTGTGGAACTGCTCCATCGAGTTTCTGAGGCTGGGACTCTGAGTGGGAACAGACAGCCACATCTTTTTCCTGGGGAACAAACAGCTGGGTTGGCAGTTTGGTGCCTTAGCCACGGTGCCACCAGGGCTCTGCTGTAGACATGTTAGTTAAGTGCCGTTGAGTCGTTTCCAACTCATTGCAAACTCTGTATAGGGTTTCCAAGGAGTGACTGGTGAGTTTGAACTACTGACCTTGCAGTTCAAGCCGACCTTGAGGTCCAGTGCTTATCCTACAGCGCCACACCAGGACTCATGGCTAAAACACCTGTTTGATTAAATTATAGAAGAAATTCACATTTATAAAATGTTAAAAACCTTGACATGCGTAAAGAAGGGGAGAAGACTCCCTGGTCCCGGCTCACAGACAAGGGTGCTCATCTCCTACCAGTCTCTTTTTTTTTTCCATTGTCAACTTTTTGGGGAATTTGGCCACTTCTTCCGCCAAAACGTTGGACCATTCCATGCCTGTCATTTTTTGTTTCATGTATGTCTTAACTCCAGGCGTCTCTTTTTCCCACTCTGTTGTGCCCCCCAATAAACAGGGCGTGTAAGGGCTGCCTAATGCGTCATCTCGTTGAAGATGGTCCATCCACTCAGTGCCCACCTTACCCCTCAGCCCCCTGCTTGTGACTGGGCATTTAGTCACTCAGTGTTAGTCCCAAATGCAAATACAGGCCAAATTCCAAGTAGCTGATTTACCAGAAAATCCTGCTCCGCTGTTTTTGGACGTGTTATCATCTTTGGTGGCTTACAAAAACACAAACCCACATATGGTGAAACCATCAACACAGCCAGAAGGCGAGATCCAATCTGGGCTGCGGAAGATGTGAGGACGTGAGGACAAGCGTCAGTATCCCCTCTAAGGTTGCTCTGAGATACCCTAGTAGTGCCGTGGATTGAGCATTGGGCTGAAAGGTCAGCGGTTCAAACCTGCCAGTCACTCCGCAGGAGGAAGATGAGGCTGTCTGCTTCATTCAGGCTGGCACATTCTGCTGTGTCCTGTAGGGTCGCTGTGAGTTGGAATTGACTCAGTGACAGTAACTTCTGACGCTTCACTATCAATTCTTGTCAGAGAACGTGGGTCACAGAGATTGCTGGGCCAAAACCCTACCATAGTAAGATACAGAGACTTTCCCTTGTAATAGAAAAAAACTGTCGTGTGCCACTAAGTTGTGTCTGATTCTTAGCCACCCTGTGGGACAAGTAGGGCTTCCCACACAGGGTTTCCTAGGCTGCGATGCTTTGGGAAGGAGCACAGTGACTCTGTCGGATAAACACTGAACTGCAAACCACAAAGTCAACAGTTCGAGCCCACCAGCTGCTTTGTTGCAGGAAGAAGACTCTTCTGCTTCCACAAAGATCTGTAGCCTTGGAAACCCTGTAACCAAGTTGACGGCACGTGACAACAGTAATCATTATGGGAGCATGTTAGGTGTTTCTCATGGGGAGACGCCGGGTGGGTTCAAACCACCCACCACAGCCGAGCACTTAATCACTGCAGCACTAGGCCTCCATGAATATCAAACTGGAAACCATAGTAGCTGCTGGGTCCTGATACCAGCCTTCGTTTCACCCAAGTTCTCGCAGTAACCTTACCAGCCTGCAACTCCCCTTTCACAGATGGGGACCAGCCGAATTTAACTGGCCCAGTGGCATGCAGCTGAGCAATGGAAAAGCCAGAATTGGGACCTGGACAGTCTGGCTCCTGGGCCCACATTCTTGACGTTGTTTGGACTTACATGTGTCTCATCTGGTCCTCGTCATCTAACACCTTGCTAGATGCATCTAGCCCTGTTTTCTGTATTCATTCTCTGCCCCCTCATAGACACATGTCTGGGGCACCTGGTGAGCGTATGTTAAACCACTCAGTAGTCATTGTCCCCCTATAGACAACTGCTCTTTCTAGACAGAACCAAGCTCTGCATGGTCCTTGTGGCCTCAGCGCCTGGCGTTGGGCTGGACCCAGGGCTGTGGGGAACTGCATGAGGTGGGCTGTGTGAGGGAAGGAGGTGGTCCGGGGTACAGGTGTGGCCATCCTCTTTTCCAGACCCTTCCTGGATATGGTGTACCTCTCCCTGGACAGCCCTGAGGATGACTACCATGCCCTTTTTGTGCTCTGCCTCCTCTATGCCATGTCCCATAACAAAGGTAAGCACACCCCCTCGCCTGCCTGCCTGAGACCCCAGTGCCCATTGCATCTGTATCCTCCTTCCTGATTTCACAGACTCCCCCAGACTTCTCTCCATTGTTAGACTCAAACGCCTCGGGTGTTGTTTACAGACTGAGGCCACAGGGATGGTTATTCAGACAACGTGGGGGAAAGGTTAGAAGTGGACTGCGCAGCCTGAATATGTATTCACACTGTGGTTTTTTCTTCAGATGCCTCTGCTTGACAAATGCCTTAGTCGCTTCCGACCTCTTCCTAACATCAGAACTGAAATCAGTCAACTTGTGACCTTGGTTTGCTATTTATAACAGTTGGCGGTCTTGCTCGGGATTCTGAGAGAGCAGCGACCCTGGGTGGGATGTGTAGAAGTGCAGGTTTCCTCTCTGGCTTCCCCGTGGGGGCTGTGTGGTCGGCACGTGTTCTGTGGAGTTTGATGTTGGATTCTAATAGGAACCTCCACCAGAGGATCTCCTAGGAGAACTCCTTCCTCCCGGCGCCATCTGAAAGTGGGGCTGGCGTAGATAGTCCAGTGATCACGTCAGGTGGTGGTTGACTAGGCTTTTTTGTAAGCCTTGTGGAGATGCTAGAGGTGGTGTTTTTGTTTTGATTTGACTTTTTATTGTGAGGTGGGTGAAGGTTTACTGAGCAGACCATCATTTGTTCATTCAAAATCATACACATTTTATTTCATCTCATTAACTGCAAGACCCTCAATGTAGCATCCCTGATCTCACTGACTCTCTGGGTTCTCCTGCCTCTCTCGGGTAAGGATCCTGTGATGGCATGAGCCCTCCTGAGTGATCTGGGATCATCTCCCACCTCACATCCCTCCACCTCATCCAGGCTCTTCCTGTAGTAGACAGGGCTTCCATAGGACTTGGGACTCTTCTCAGGATATGCTCATCGGGCTCCCTCCCAAGTCTAGAGACGTGGGGGAGATTTTGAAAAGAAGCGTTGTTGTTAAGTGCCGTCGAGTTGGTTCCGACTCATAGCGACCCCCGTATAGGGTTTCCGAGGAGCGACTGGTGAGTTTATGGTTCAGCGGACCTTGTGGTCCAGCACAGTAACCCGCAGTGCTGCACCAGGACTAGAAGACTCCAAACCCTGCAGCCGTTTCCCTCTGCATCTCGTTCCTGCGGAGGTTTTGGCAGACCCTCCAGCTCCTGGCTCAGTGCCTCGGCTCCTGGGGAGTGAGCAGAACCCTGAGACTGACCCCCGCCCCCATGGATTGTCCACATGCCCCTGACCTCTGCCCTCAATGCCCCGCTCATCCGGTCCTGAAGTCTTAACTCCTGCTCATGGTCTGCGGGAGCCTCCTACCTAGATGTTTCAGCAACACCTCCTAAGACCTGTTGACCATTACGTTGTCTCCCGCCCCTTGGGAGGAAGACGAGGCTGACTGTGAGCATAAAGACGGACAGGCTTGGGAGCCCTAAGGAGCACTTCTGCTGTTTTAGAACCAACTCCTTGACACCGGGTCTAGTTTTGGGTTTTGTTTGTTTGTTTTGGTATCCTTCTCATTCTCCCCTATAAGTATCCCCCGACCCCAACACACTTCTGACTCTCTGTTTAGTTGACATTGCCCACCAAAGCTGACACTTGCCATGACCTTGACATCTTTCTGTCCTGTGAGCCCGGCATTTAGTTGTCAAGCTCATCATCTCTTTCCTTTCAGCCTGTTTGACCGTAGACCTGAACTGGGCACCTGCTCAGTGCATGCCTCTAACCATGTGGCTGGAGGGGAGAACCAGACCCTGAAGGGTCTGCTGGATTGCCATTTTATCTGCCCTTCAGAACTCTGCCAGGCGTCTTCTACTAAGATTGTTTGGCCATGTCCCTCCTCTGTCCAGAAACCTCAGTGTCTTCCCCTGACCCTTGACTCCATCCTACTGAACCTGTCATTTGGGATATCCAGATGCCACCCATTTTTCTAACGACTTGATTCCCAGAACTTCCCCTCTTGGGTGTGGCCCAGGTTTCAAGTGTTTGTTTCGTGACAGACGCTTTCCTGGAGATCAAGTTACGACTCTTGTCCTAGGACTCGCTGCACTCTGAATGTTCTTTGGGTCACAAGCACCAGAAACGCCTTTTTTTAAAGTAGGCTGATAAGGAAAGTATAGAAAAAAGCCATTGGGAAAACTCCTAGGATCTAAGAAGGTGCTGAAAGGCCTAGGGAAGGACAGAAACCCACCAGCTTTGGGAACTTGGGCAACAAGTTTCCACAAAGGTCCTGATTTGACCCCAGCAAATCCCAAGCTGGGAGCTTGTCTTGGTCAAGTTGCAACTTCTTGAGCAAGTGATCTTACTGCTCCAGCTTGTTGGTGTGCCTTAATTCTGGAACTATCCCGTATGGCTGGGGTCAGGGTCCCCTGGCATAGACTGGTGCCTAAGGGTATCTGCCTGTGTCTGGGACTGTTCCCATAGAAAGGGGCGTCTTTGGAGGCCTGACAGCAGTGCCTAACACACTGTTTCTGAACAGCTCTGCCATGTCATATTCATTTCTCATTTGGGTGGTTTTTTTCCATTCCTCTTACCCTTCTTCAATACCAGTTGAAATTCTGCTTCCCTGTCGTAGTTCCACTCAGAACCATTCACTCACCTTTTCCAGGAAACTGTCTCTGAGTGGTATTCATACTAGGTGGTGGCTGTGAAGTGCTGTTGCATAAGTAAGTTCTGACTCAGTGTGACCCTGTATAGTTTCTGAAGCTGTAGATCTTTCAAGGACCAGAAAGCCTCATCTTTCTCCCATGGAGCAATTGATTTGAACAGCTGACCTTGTGGTTAGCAGCCCAACGTGTAACCCACTACACTTAGGTTAGTATATATATATATATATTGCTGGGTTTGGCTAAAGTTTGTAAGTAATTTATTTGCACCTAAGGAGCTCTGGTAGCGTAGTGGTTACGAATCGGGCTGCGAACCTTAAGGTCAGCGGTTTGAAACTACCAGCCACTCCGCGGGAGAAAGATAGGCTTTCTACTCCCGTAAGGATTTACACCCTCGGAAACCCTGTACAGGGTCGCTATGGGTCGGAACCGACTCAAAGGCAATTAACAACAACATTCATGAGTGAAGAGTCTGGTATGGCACTGTGGGCTAATGCTCTGGACTGCAAAGTCATTTTAACTACAAGGTCAGTGGTTCAAGCTTACCAGCCGCTCCTTGAAAATTCTATACAGGGTCTCCATGGGTCGGAACCAACTCAGCAACACTTAACAACACCAAAAAATTCATGAGTGATACTGGAGTCCTGGTATGGCACTGCAGGATAAAGCACTGGACTGTGAGGTCAGCGGTTCAAACTCACCAGCCGTTCCTCAGAAACTGTATACAGGGTCACTGTGAGTCAGAACGGACTTGATAGCATTTAACAACAACATGAGTGATAGTGGTCTATAGTCTTGTAATTCCTTTGTATGTTAGTTTGTTTTATCATGGTAATTAGTGCTCACCTTGTGGAATGATTAATTTCATTCCCTTTTCTGGAATACTTTTGTAAAACTGATCTCGGTAGGAGTCTTCATTAGTGAAGCCTCCTGAGCTTGGATTTTGATTTGTTGGGAGTGTGGTGGCTCCATATAATAAGCATTGAACTGTGAACCACAAAGTCCACGGTTCAAGCCCACCAGTCTCTCCTTGGGAGAAAGATGAGGCTTTCTGCTCCCATGAAGATTTAAAAGCCTCAGAAACCCTATACAGGTCACTATGGGCCAGAACCGGCTTGATAGTACTTAACAGTAACATTGGCTTGTTGGTTATTCCTCTTTTATTTTTATGTTTTTAAGACGTTTGTGTGTGTGTGTGTGTGTAGATGATGGTGCTGTTGTTGTTGTTAGGTACTGTCCATTTGTTAGGTACTGTCCGTTTGTTAGGTACTGTCCATTCAGTTTAATCTCATAGCAGCAACAGAACCAAACACTGCCTGGTCTTAGGACATTCTTACAATGGAGACTAGTGTGCTGGTCTCCGGGCCTGCAGACTCCAGGCCAGCCGAGGCCCTTGCTCAGAGACCTCCACGGCAGGCAGCACTCAGGCATTGAGGACGATGTGTCCTGAGGACACCTGAGTGGCCTGAGGGTTAACAGGCTGCCCTGCCTATGGAGGGCAGAGCAGGAGGATGTGAGAGCCTGTGAGTCACCTGCAGGATTGCTGGCTGTTTATCAGGGGGAGCCCATGTGGGCAGACACCTTGATGCCCTGTATCCTGAACACGGCATGGAGGCTCCTGGAGGATGCTCACCAGGAAGTGGTCTGCCCCACTCCATCCCCAGTGGAGCCCCCAGGGTGGGTTTGCAGTTGCTCAGCCAGAAGACAGGAGGGATGAGGAGGTGTGGACAGATGTGGGCAGTGTGTACGGGGTGGAAGTAGATCTTTACTCCCTCCTCTGTGGGAAACACCGCTGTAGATACTGGAACACACCTGATGGGTTCCCTTCCAGTGATACCTGGTGATTTTTAGGGGCCATAGGAGGCGGAGAGCTGTGTCGGGCTTGGTCAGGAGGAGCTGTGCTGCTGATGCGCTGGGTACCTGTATGTAGTCAGGGAGGGTTTCTCTGAGGAAGGAGCATCAGAACCAAGGCCCTGTAAAGAGCTGGCCCACAGTACTCCAGGCGAAGGGAACAGCGTGTGCAAAGGCCTCGAGCTGGTAAAGGAGCAGAAAGAAGGCCACAGTGAAACTGGCCAGGTGGGCAGGGACCAGATGGGGAAGGGCTTTGAACACTGTAAAAAGGGATTTAGATTGTATTCCCAACAGCAGGAAATGACTGACCGCTTTTAAGGAGGAGAGTGACAGGATCAGAGGGAAGAACACGCTGGCTGTTGGGAAATGTGGATGAGTGGGGCCGACCACAAGAGGGGAAGCAGGGAGTTTATCAAGAAGTGGCTGCAGTAATCCCAGCAAGAGATCATGTGGATTGGGCTTGGGCGATTGACTTTGGCGATGGAGAAAACTGAAAGAATTGAGGATGCATTTAGGAGCTAGAG